TAATTTAAGTTAGTTGTAATTAGTTAGAAGATGTAGTTAGGAGGTTAATCAGGTTGTTAGTCGGTTAGGACATTTGTATATATACTCGTTAGTGGCAATGAAACAGTGGGATTTTCCACTTTTTTCTTCTGCAATCTCTCTTTCTCTTCTTCTTCTCAGAACATTCTAGAGCATTGAAGCTTAGAATTGTGAGATAATCGTAGTATTTTGGCAGGTAGATACAGTCGCATTCACCACCTATACATTGCTCAATAAATTTTATATATATATATATATATATATATATATATATATATATATATAAAATTGAAAATTATGAAGAAAATATATTTATCACCACGTCTGCCCATAGAAGAGTAGTTATTAGTATAACAATACAAGGCAAAACCATCAAATTTGACTTTGTACTAAAGTTGAGCAGCCTCATTTTTTTATATTTAAACTCTTGGTGTAATATTACTTTCGTCATTATGAAAAAGTATTATCTTTGTCCTTGATCCTAACGAAGTTTTAGTTTGACGGTAATCTTTAGACCATAGTCAAAAGTTAATGAGTAAATTTAGGTTTTTTTTTTCCTAAAACATTGAGATATGTGAAGACCATCCATTTCATGATGAAACTCCGTGAAGGATAAGTACAAATACGAGACGATTTGCTAAATGCAGGATAAGTGAGCCAATCTTTAACAAATGGCAAAGTAGATTAATTTTGACAGTACAAGAACAAATTTGTACAACAATAATAACAACAATGTACCCAGTCTAATTCGACAAATGACGTCTAAAAAGACTAGTGTGTACGCAAACCTTACCCCTACCTTTTCCAATAATATTATGAATCCAATGGTTCTAAGATTTTGAATGCACATCAATTTGAAAACTATTTTATATAAAATTGTAAGTTCAAAAGACCAAGTTGCCTTCTGGTTTGGTCACAAAAATTAAGAAAGGAATGTCACATTCCAAACATTTATTAAAATCCTTTACCATATGCCAGCCCAAACCTCATCATAGACAATCAATTGGCCACATCCTCTTTTCATTTAAAGAGTCATAATCTAATTTTGTCCCTTTCTAAATATTAAAAAGTATAACAAGTCCCATATCCCTATTCATGAGAAAGAGAAAGAGGAAAAGGGCAAGAAGAAAATGGCCAAAAATGAAATAAAATCACTAGTAAATGCCAAGAAGAAAAGGGTAAATTGTTTAATAAAAGACAGTCCCAGAGGTTAATGTGGTGTTAGAAAACCACGAAAGGATGTGATACAGTGGATAAAGTTGCTCTTCCCTTAATCAGAGGTTTCGAGTTAGAGCCCTAGGTATGGAAAAATCTTAATTGGGAACGCTTCTTCACGAATGGGGCCCTACATGGCGTGAATCCGGATATAGTCGGGTTCAGATGCGGATACCATACACCTGGTGGGAAATCAAAAAATGTGATGTTAGATAAAGGGCCAAAAATTGAATAGTAAAAGACACAAAGAGAAGAACAAATCTAAGGTACAAACTTAAAAGGGATTTAACTTTATTCACATCCAGAAGATCAGATATGCTTTTTAAAAACTGGGAACTTTGATTTGTTATATTCTCTTACTTTTATTATATTTTCTGATTCAAAGACACATCCAAACAAAAGGCACTTTTCTTTAATCCCTTTTTTGGGGGACAAATCCGACAATATGAAAAAGTTTTGGGTTACTTTTATCAATGTTTTCTCATAGTTCAAACTCTGATGAAAAGGGGTGATTGTTCCAATACACTGCCACGTGAAATCTTTTACACATTGCCTAATTAAACCTAAATATAATCCTAATTAACAAAATGTTAATCAAGTTTTCTAATCATAGGCAGAGCTAGCTCTTCGCTTACGAGTTGTGCCGAACTAGTAGTTTTGGTCCAACTTTTGTATTTGTCCTATAAAATTTATTAATACGTATAAATTATTAATTTAGAATTCAATAACTTAAAAAACTAGAATTCTGAATCCATAAACTTCAAGTTATAGCTTTGCCTCTGTGTCTAATTATTAATTTTTGTTGACCAATTTTTCTCTTACATGTCGTCCAAATATTAATTGAGGGACCTAGGTGCTTGAATTTTGTGGATTTATCTGACCGTACTAAATAAACTTCTGTTTTTTTTTTCTTTAATTTTTTGTGTAAAATTCTAACAGTGTGTAGTCAGTCTTGTGAATGTTCATGGATTTGACAATTCCTTGAGCAGGTCGCTCCAACCAATAAACTATTGCATCTTCTTTCCTTTTGTAAAGAAGAAAATTCAGCATTTTTAAAGAGTTTAATATTTTGAGACTATATCATATCACCTAAATAATTACTACTACATATAAACAGGAAACTCCAGTTGCTAAAAGTAATGTATATAAATTAATCTCAATATTGAACGAGATTTGGTAGAGTCACCGACTTGGTTTTCGTGGTTTAGGTAAACAGAATATTAGCAACCAAAATTGCAAACGGCTTCATTAAATTGTTCGACGATAATGTATAAAACTCAAAGTGAAATTAAATTAATTTGGAATGTCGGAATGAACAACTTCCGAGATTACAATGGCTTTTTAAAAGAAAAAAATGGATTAATTAATTTAAAACATACCAGTTAAAATGCGTGGTTATACTTTTAAAAAATTACATATATTTGGTTAGCAAGATAATCGTCGCTAAAGACAGGCAAATATAATAGGGTCGCTAAGGGTAAAGCGAAAACTCAATTGTTTTAATACTATATATATGCTCTAATTTGTAAGCTTAAATATGAAGGGAAAAAAAGACGTTCTTTTTGCTAATACAATAGGGTTGCAAAGGATAAAAGGCAAATATCACTTTTAGCTCGCGGTCGAAATTATTTATATTTGATAGCTGCAAAAGTATATATTTTTTTTAGATAACATATAAAAATGTATAAATATTATATACATACAAAAAATATAATTTTTTGGCTATAATTTTAAGAGCGGCTATACAATGTCATTTTTCAATTCTCAATTATACAAACTTGAGCCAAAACACAATTGTAAAATTATATATGTTCTGATTTGTAAGCTTAAAGATGAAAAAAAATATATACTTAGTACTTTTTTCTAATTAAGAATTAATATTAAGCTCAGAAATTTAAAGTTCGAACGATGCATTTTGGTTTTCTCTGGGAAACATGTACTGATTCCAAGTACACTCGCAAAACACACCATAGAGCAATTTGATTCTTTAAATTGAAGTAAAAAACGAACAATTGGTATTAAAATTACAAATAGGGTTCACAAGTTCACTTAATAAGCATCAAAATTAGCAAATGACTAAAGGTAAATGTATATAGGATCGTACGAACATAGTTAGCAGCTAATACAAGTTTTCAACGTAAAGCAAATTGCTAAATTACATGCATATTTTTGTTAATTATAATTAGTCATTTAGAACGTTAAACAACAAAATTCTTTGTTAACACAGTAGCGAGATTCCCGGTCAATTTAACCTACCAAAATACATCCTCATGTTTTTGCAAATCTCTGTCTTTAAATATAAGTACTTTTTTAATCCGAGTGTACTTTTTATCTTAAGCTCATTATTAATTAAAGTTTCAGTAATTAGGCTGCATCATTTTTCATTCTCAAGTGATTATTAATTTGCATAGCACCGACATTCAATTCTTCATATATTGATATGTTTTTGGCAGTCAAACCTAACAATTCCATAATGTTTTAAAAAGTTCAAAAACTCAATGATGAGTAGGAAATATATGTACTCGATCTCATCTTTCTTTCTCTTTCTTTTTTCATTCATTTTTAAAATAACAGCGTAAATATCTTGATATTACTTATCCGATATCTCAATTCTTTGTGATATATGCCTAAACCCAACTCTTACGATTGATAATCTAATTTGGATCCTTTATTCATGCTCAAAAGTCAAAAGTTTCAATAGCAACCGTCCATAAATAGATGAGATTAAATCTCAAAATTGAAACAAGTTACTTGTCACATTATTAGTATATATAAGTTAAACTGTTTTTTAAATGACTAATAGCATAAATATTATTATCGGTGATTGGGTAAAGTATATAAATAGCCCTCAAAGTGGATGGTCTTAATTAAATTTTTGTCCTTCATTGCCCTTGCCGCTTGAGAGAACTTCAAATTTTAGTGCGTGTTGCCCTCGCTTGCTCCATGAGCAAGTCTTTTAACTTTTGACCTTAAAATTCTACCTATAAGGTAAGCCAGGGTCAAAAGTAAAGATCACCCAAAAAAGTATTAAGTATATTTCTATAATCTTTTGGTGTATAATACTCTGTATATTCTATTTTATGTGATACTATTTCGTTATTAGTCTTCTTTAAATTCAATAAATATTGATTTAATCATATTATTGAGAAACAGTTTAGTTTTAAACTATTAATTTTTATCCTTAATGAAAACCTTATGTAATAATATAAATGTTATGTCAAATATAAGATTACAAGTTTTAAAAGTCTTATTATATAACCACATAAACATTATGACTTGTTTAACTATAAATTTTGAAGAATTATCTTTTTTCCTAAAATGTGTACTGAGACAAATTATGCCACATAAATTGATTTTGAGCGAGTAGTTTTTTTTTTTTTTTGGGTTTTCCACCTGTATCCTATAATCGTATTGGTGCTCCAACTTCGGATTCACATCGCATAAAACCTATTAAAGAGAAAAATACTCCCTCTCATTATTTTTTTTATTCTCAAAATTCAAAGCCAAAATCTCTGATCAAGGATAGTAAGGTTCTATCAGTCTCATCTAGTGGTGGTAGTAGTTCCAATTTATTCATCAAAAGACATTTTTAAATTCCAACAACAACCTCATACAAGAACATACCCACTGCTAGTTTTGCTGTATTCATTCGTAAATGGGCCCTACTTTTCTTTGCATGACTACTACCCCTGTCCCCC